AACTGCTCAGGTTTTCTGGGCCTTCATCTAACTGATTGAAATATTCAGCTCTCTTTTTTCCCTTCTGAACACCTCAGTTTCTATACTAGTGATCAGCGCTGCATTCATTAATTTAAATAATAGTTCTGACACTTGAAAAAAAACAGGTTTTCAATGCCACATGGGATGAGCTGCTCACTTGTGAATCATCTGTGGCATTAATGCTGAGATTTTAAAAATCTCTCATAAAATAATTGTGTCTATTTGACATCTGCATTGTTTGTAGAGTTCGCATGTATCTTTCTGATCAGGGGTTTCATCTGAGAAATCTGACTTGTTTCAATTTTGTTTCTGTGTGTAAATTCTGATGTTGTGACTTTTCTGGCTGGGTGACTCTCAGATGTGAAATTACTCTGCAGATGCCAATATTGGAGTTCCAATATTTTCTGTATAAAGTGTATTGTATTCCCCCAAACAGTGACGTGTCCATGATTGGCTCTTCTGGCAAATCTGTTTGCTACAGGGTTTCTAAAGTAAGTACAAAAGGGGAAGAAAGGTGGGAAAAGCATATCTGAGATTTTTTTTTTTTCACGCATCAGTAGGATTTATTTTATATAGTAGCCTAGCTTTAAATTCACTACAGTTTATTTAAATAAAGTGGCATGCAAAGTAATGGTGGATATTTTAGTGAGTAGCTGTATCACAAAGATGTTTTTGAAATAGTGAGCATAAATTAGAAACCTTTTTTTGGAAATGAATTATAAATTACTGTAAGTAGGATGGACTGTCACCATGCAGTCTGTGTCTGTCAGGTTAGTGCCCCAGTTAGTCTCTACTTCTGGGGAACGACCAAATTATAAACTGATATATTAATATTGGATATTCAAGAATGAATATTGTATATTCAAGAACTGTCTGGATTAAATCCTGTGCCATGTGCTGTAGGATGACCCTGCTTAAGCAGGAAGGTTGGACCAGATGACCCACTGGTCCCATCCAACCTAACTGATTCTGTGATTCTATGGCATGAAACATGCCTGAAAAATGCATCTTCTCAGAGATGGTCTAAAATGACAATAGGCTTGTGTCTGTTAGTGCCAGGGGCAATGCTTTCACCTGCACAGTTCACAACTTGTGTCTTTGGTGGGAAAATGGTACAATTCACTTATGTTTCTTAATCCTTATTTCACATTTTTCTGATAGTGTGCTGGAGTCAACCCAACATTGCTTTCTATAGAGTTTCATCTGGAAAACATATTGCATATCCACATCCTCTTCCATACTCATGCTGATATTTTTAATGCTTGACTAAAGGTCAGGTATTCACAGAGGAGTTCCCAGCAGAGGCCAGGTCCTGGAAAAACACCTGTTCCAAGTCCTGTGGTGTGGACACTCACCGAGGGAACACTCCCTGGTTGCTCATTTTAAACACAGGCGCTGTCTGCAATGGAAGGACCAGAAAACTGACACCTTTTCACTTGGAATTGTGTGGGGTACAGGCAGGGTGGCAGGCAGGGGGACAAGTCATTCTCTAAGGGATGGGCTTTGAAGTTCAGGTTGGTAAAGGATGCAAACACCATGTGTTTTCTTTCCTTATATCTTAAAGTCACTTGCAGTCCTGAGCAGTCTCCCCTAGGCTGGGCTCCTGTGTCCAAGTGCCACCTTGGGTTGGGCTGAGGTTCAGCTCTTCAAGGACAGTGTTGTGTTTGAGGTAAGCTCAGTGACTTTATTGTCAACTGGTAGGATGAAGATGGGAAGCACTTGGTTTTATTCTCCACCAGAGCCTTAACTAAATTTGAGGAGTATCTGTCTTGGTGTTCTTGTCTGATGGGATGGAGGTGGTGCTGCTTTCCTCCCAGGGCTGCAATGAGATTTAATGTTTGTGTAATGCACCTGTGTAAAGGTGTATCTGATGTCTAACTGCTGGCAGTACCAGGGCTTTTCTCTGTGTACCTGATAAAAAACAACAATTCTGCCACCTGTAAAATACTGGACCTGCTCACAAACACACACTTTCAGGCTCTCCCTGGGGGGAGCCAAGTTTGTGTTCTTCCCTAACAGGTGTTCACATTTTTCAGTACCACAGACCCTACCTTTACTTTTCACTAAATGCTTTCCAAAAGCTCTTAAGTCACCGAGACATGTGTTACTGCATGCTACTTGTTTATTTTGTTGGTTTTTTTTTATGAATAGAACATATGTTTTAATCAATAAAATAAGTATCTACTACAATACAAAAAGTCTCCACAGAAGTTCCTGGAATACAAAGAAATTAAATATACATCTTGTAAATATCTCCTTCTTTGTAGATCCAAATTATAAATTAAATAAATAAGAAAAACATAAATACACATCAAGATACAGCGGTTATTAAGAAGAAACATTAATCATCTCTTCCCCTCCATCCTCATACTGCCTAAAGTTATTAATTAACAAATGAAATACTATGATACAGCTTTCTCAAGAGACAAAACTCTTGCTGCCCTGGACTGTGTTTGGGTGCCCTGTGGGTCATGTAGGCTAGAAGGGCAGGTACCACAAATGCTCACTCTCTTAATTACACCAAATGGACTTTTCCCAGTGTCTGACCCTTGTCTTTATTTTACTCTGTTCAGGGAATGAGACCAAAAAGGGAACCAATGACTGCTGTTCTCCCTACTCCTTGGATGAATGCATCGCTATGTGAGGGAGCAGCCCCACTGAATTTACCAGGTTTACCTATACGTGTAGAAATAGCATGTGCCTACAAGGCCAAGGTTTCTATGGGCTGAGGATAGGGGTGAAGTTGCTGGTGATAATTGTAAAAAATTATTTCAGGAAACTTTTGGCCATGGCTCCAGCTTGGTTCAGCCATAGAGGATCTGATGTTGGCAGGGTCATGGTGCCAGACTATTACCCAGTGGCAATGTGGTTTAAAGGTGGAGTGGACCCCTGTGAGAAGTCAGCTCTGGTGCTGCTCAGGTGTGCAGTCTTCAGCAGGCATCAGCATTACTCTCACGTGCCATGGCAGGCGGCACATGGTTAATACTGGGTCACCATTGCTGCTTCTCCTTGCCTTGCCAGCAGCAGGGGCTTTTCAGCACATGGCTAACAAGGAATTGTGTTCTCCTTCTTCCCCAGGAGCAAGAAATAAAAGCCGGAGAGCAGATCATCTCTATGCCAGGCTGCTGGGCCAGAGAAGGACTTCTACCTTTGGTAAGGAGGAGGGAGAGTCTGTGTGATTTCTAGCTGCAAGGCTGTCCTCTGAGCAGCTGAGCACTTCTGAAGGAGAAGCCTGTGACTGAAGAAGTGATGGATAGCTGAATGTGAGGGCTGACAGAGGTATTTTGTGACGGTCTAGTGCCTCTCTCTCCTTGGCAGACTCTGGATTGACTTGGCTCTGGCTGT